AAAAAATTATAATGGTATAATTTATAATAAAAAAGAAAAATATTTTTAATGTATTTTAGTTAATCTATGATTATGTATTTTTAATATGCTAAAGATGTAAAAATAAAACGTAAAGATATAAAACAAATTAATTCTTAGGTATTCATGATACTTAATAATACGATTAAAATCCAAAAAGTATTTAAAATTAAGCTTATTTTGAAGGTACCATGACGAGATGATTATAACGGTATAATTTGTAAAAATAATACGTATTTTTAACGTACTTTTCTTCATTTATAATTATTTATGTTAATATGGTAAAAGTGTAAAATAAAAAATAATAAAATAATAAAGTAAATAAATAATTAATTATAAGAGAATAAAGTGTAATTTAAAAATTAAAAATAGTTTGCCTTTTAATATCCTAACATGGTGAGAGGTTTTGGAGCTTTAAAATTTTGTACATTAAGTTTATAAAATGATCTCTCTTAAAAATTCAAAATCTTTTATAAAATAGCAGATATTTGAAAATGCATATGGCAATCGTTAAGGTTTGATGAATTATGTCTAAAGTTTAGAAAACAAATCAAAAGTTATATTAAAAATTGGATTGTAGTAGATGACCATAATCAATTAAATGGTGCTGGTATCACTTTTAGGAGTCTATATAAACACCCGAACCCTCTCTCCCACAAACCCACACCACTCATCTTCACTCTTGCTACAAAGCATAAACCTCACCTAAACAGTATTCGTTAATCCAAGTAATGGCAGTAGGTGGAAAGGTGGCTTTGATGGTACTGTTCTGCTTGATGGTAGCAACTGCACCACCGTACACGGCGGAGGGAGCGATGACCTGCCAGATGGTGGTGAGTAGCCTAACCCCGTGTGCTTCCTACCTCACAAGAGGAGGTCCAGTGCCAGCCTCATGCTGCAGTGGGATGACCTCACTCTACAAGGCTGCAACAACCACCGCAGACCGCCGGATGGCTTGCCGGTGCATGGAACAAGCTGCCGGAATGGTCCCTGGAATCGATCTTAATAATGCCGCTAGCCTTCCGGGGAAATGCGGTCTCAAGATCTCCTACAAGATCAGCCCTACTACCGACTGCTCCAAGTAATCATGCTTTCTAAATATATATAACACATATCAATAATATATATATATATATATATAATCATGCTTTCTAAATATATATAACACATATCAATAATATATATATATATATATATATATATGATGATAATCGGGGAAAACCACAAATAGGTTATAAACTAGATCGTTGAAAACTGATATAAAAATATTTGTTTCAATTTTTCTTTACATCAAACATTATGACTTTCGCTAGTGTTTTCACGTATATGTTTGTGTTCATATGGTGAAAAAACGAAAAATATACGTAAAAAGATTTCACAATGTGAAATAAATGCATGTGAAACTATCACGTTATGAAACAAATATATATATATATATATATATAAAACAATACATAAATTTCTAGCATTTGATGAAAAAAATATTTTTTAACCGATTGTCATGGGTTTACAACCTTTTTTGGTTCTCATTTGATTTAACTCATATATATATATATATATATATATATATATATAATATATATATATATATATATATGTCCTGAGGAACCAATGCAATCATGTGTTGTTTTACATTTTTCTTTTTCATATAAGGTAGTATTCAAGGTATTGATTAATATATCTATTTGTTTTACAATGTCAAACTTTTTTACGTGTTTGTGAAACAAAAAAACATATAAAAAATTTCACATTGTTAATCACATGTAAGGTATTGATTAATATATGAAACAAACAAATTGTGAAACATATATATGTTACTCAATACTTTAAATCATAATTTTTGAAAAAATCATATAAAATAATACCTTATGATAAAAGTTCCAAATAGTATATAGGATAACCTCACTCCACAAGGCTGCAACAACCACAAGGGTGGTGCTCAATTGGTTTGAGCTTGGGCTCCAAAGGTCAAAAATGTCTGGAGGTCCCAGGTTCGAATCCAAGGAGAATAAAAAATCTTTTGTGGCTGCGGAGGTTCAAATGCAGTGACTTTGGGCTACTCGCTAAGCGGGTGATCCCCTATGATTAATCGGCTCGTATAGCAAGTTAGATATCCAGGTTAAAAGAAAAATCGATCTCACAAATAATATAAGTTTTAACAGTTTGAATCGTCAAAAAAAACTTTTGAAAGTTGATTTATTAAAATAAAGTTGATTCCAATACCTAATACAATACGTATATACTTCATATATCATTAAAATGAATATAATAAATATTTTATTAATTGATGGTGTATTATGTATAATACAACTAATAAAGACATCAATGTACCAGTTTACGTACATCACAACTGATTTCCAAATTTTATGATCACCATACCTCTAGAAACAAATCACAAAGTTTTGCTGATATAATCGTGGGTATCTAGACCAGCTTACGACTTTCCGTGCATCTCAACTGATTTCATGAAACTTTTTTACATTTGTTTTATGTCGCATGGGTGTTTTTGTTACATGTTGTGATATATTATGTTACGATACATAAATATTTATGCATCTGATTTAAAACATGTTACAGGTTGCAATGAGTATAGGAATGTGAATGTAAGCAAAGCAGGATGTAGATACCGTAGCGAATAAGGATGCAGATAATCCAATACTCGTATCTCCTGCAAGTTTACTCTTAGCTTATGGATGCTATGGTAGCTCCCATTTTGTATGTCCGTTATCGTTGGTTGTACTTGGTGCTTGCTTTTATCGTCTTCAATGAATATCGTCCCTTTGTCAACGTTCATTTGTTGTGGACAACTATTTTTTCGCTTATGACGGTTTTATTCTTAGACCTAAACCAATTATCTCATCAACAAAATCTTTAGGTTGCTCAACAGGTCAAATCTTAAGTTTCTTTCCCACTAGCCACCGGTTCGAGTATTTTCAGTGTCATTAGAGGTTTATTGATTATTAACTTCAAGACCCATAAAATTAGTCAACTATTGTTATAAAAGAAACGTCTCAACGACATTTTTTAAAATTCAAATTTTGTAAATAAATGGAGAATCATTTCCACGTTAGAGTTGGATAACCACAATAATATCATAGTTCAAAAAATTTAAACTTCTACCATCTTCCTTTTTATATATAAATATTCAATTTAATTTTATTAAATTTTTTATATAAATGCTTTTGCAAACATATGAATCGAACACAAATTTTAGCCGACTAACCATTTTAAATTTCAAATATCTTATTTTTAATCATTAATAAACAATGCCACAATTCAAATATCATAATACACGGTCCATTAAATCACAACTAACATCCACTAAACCCAATACGATGCGTTAAAACCAATAGAACCGTTAAAGTCCAGTACGATCCGTTAAAAACCAATACGATCCATTAAAGTCCAATAGGTCAATTAAAACCCAATACGGTCCATTAAAGCCCAATATGATCTATTAAACCACAACTAACATCCATTAAAGCCGAATAAGATGCGTTAAAGCCAATAGAACCGTTAAAGTCCAATACGATCCATTAAAGTCCAACTAACATCCACTAAAGCCCAATAGAACCGTTAAAGCCCAATACGAACCATTAAGAAAAAAAAGTTTGAAAATTGGGAAAAAATTAAAGCCGCCAGAAAACATTAAAAAATTTAAAATCTTGAATAATTATTACCCGGTGGATTACCGGCGGCCCTTCGGAATCCGCCGGAAATCAGTCAGAAAACTTTAAAAATAAATTTTAATTTTTAATTATTTTCTGATAGATTTCCGGCGGATCTTAATTTTATAAAATTAATTAAATATCTGCCAGTAAATTATTGTAATTAGATTTAAAACTATTCTAAAATAATTAATTACAAAATCCATTGCAAATCTGCCGGAAATATTATCAGTTGACATTTTTTGTTGTATTCTTTTTCAAAAAGAGGGTCAATAAAAAATTATATTTTTTCCAAGTAATTTTTCAAAGAAATCCATTCCCGTTTAATAATTGTAAGATAACAAAAATCACACCATAATTTAAAAAATTTAAACACTTAAATCTTATAATATCACTTCATATTTCGATTTAATTAAATTTTCTATTTTTTTTTTCGTATAAAAAGGGTCGATCAAAAATTATATAAAGTATCACATAAAACTTTTAATTTTCAAAGAAATTTCCCATTCTTTCATATATTCACATCTATTTTTCAATCAATCATATTCCATAAATATAGGATAACAAAAATCACAATACTATTCATGATTTTTAAATATTTAATTTTTATAATGTCACTTTTCATAACAATTTCATTTCCAAAGGAATACTCCACCATTCATATATATAGAGAGAGAAAGAGAGAGTGCGTGCGCCTAGTTCAAATGTTAACTAAGTTTATTGTGTTAACTTTGTTAATCATTTTCAACCAATGTCAATCCATCTTATAAATAGGTTCCTATCCGTCTTAGAATTTAATGACAAGAGTAAATATGTAATTTTCTTTTTTATGTAACTCCCATATCATTAATTGGGAGTTACAAAATCATAAAATCCCATGATTTTTGTTAACTTATTATTAAATATCTAATTATATAAACATGTGAACATCAAAATGTGTATAAATGCATACGTTCATGTTGTGATCACATATGCTTTACACCTCTCTCGATAAGACCATATGTGTTCGTACATGCTGAAATGGGTTGTTCATCATCTTGCATATGATTATATAATTGACATAGGTTTCACATGTGTTCGTAACTGATTGAAAGATTTCGTATATGTCGATTTGTATTCATAATGAAAGAACTATTGTTCACAAGCTGTTCATATGTAGACTAGCTACATTTCTCAACAGTAGCTGGGTCCTGAATGTGTTCATAATAAATGAACTATTATTCACGAGCTGTTCATATTGTGTTCATAAATGTTTTTTTTTTTTTTTTCTTACCTTTCGTGTAGCATCTATTCTTATTGTGTTTATGTTGTGTTCATGAAACACCCCCAATCTGACATTGCATATATAACACATATTTCATACATAAAATACATGTTAAGCCCCCAAAGGTCCATAATACAAGAGACTATGCTATAAAATGTACAACTCAAAACTTCAAAATACATGCTCTTGTATAATATCCATTCTCCAAAACTTATTCAGAAATGATCTTCATAATTCTAAGCACATAGGAAAGTAATCATGGAATATTTTTTCCTTATTATCATTACCTGCACACATATTTGAAAACACAAAATGAGGGTTAAACATAAATGTCTAGTGAGGTTCCCTTTTTTTATGTAATGCAGGGTGAGAATCACCAAATTATTTAAACCATTTCACATAAAGAGGAATAAAATCACATTTTGTTTGAGTCCATCGGACCTCTGTTTCTAAAGAACACACTTAGAACATATTATGTTTGAGTCCATCGGACCTCTGGTTCCAAAGACCACATTTTGAAAATATTTCAACTTATAAGAGGACCAGAGCCCCTCTGGTTCCTCTACCAGAGCTTCTAGTTCCTCAACCAGAGCCTCTGGTTGTACTAACCAGAGCCTCTTACTCAGGTAATTTCTCATAATGTTCCTTGACTAACTTTGTAAGTAATAAAATAGCTTTTTCCATAACTAAAAATGATTAAAAAGAGTTCATGTATAAACAGAGCTTCTGATTCAAAAGACAAGACCAACCAGAGCTTCTGGTTCAACGTGCAAGCCAATCAGAGCCCCTCTGGTCTGTTTTTCATAAAAAGATTCTAAGTATAAAGAATCTTTGAAATATCTTTTAAAAATGTAAATTTGGTACCGAGCTCGTTTCTAATAAATACAAAGCCTCTGGTTTAACTAAAACTTTGTAAAAGACATAATTTCAAATCATCATCCAGAACCCTCTTGGTTCTATATTGAGGATCAACCAGAGCCTCTCTGGTTTCTTTCAAGGAACAACCAAAACCCCTCTACTTCCTCATAAAATGAACATTCTGATCCAAAACACTTTTAACCAAAACCAATGACCATAGACCATATTTTCCCGTAACCATAACATCAATACTATTATTTCTAATAAGAACAACATTTCTGAATTCTCAAATCACCAAGAAGTAAGAACTCCAATATGTTGTAATCTTAAAAGATATAATATCAATAGTTATACCATGCACACACAATGACCATCCTTATTACATCCAAAATTCCCCTTAATAGCAACAGCTATATCCATCACACACAACGACCACCCTTATTTTCCCTGAAATTCTTATGAACTATTTCATCCAATGACAGGCTGCAATCATTTCTGTCAGAGTGAACCTCGTTTATAGTTTTAATCAAAATCTATAGACTATTTCATCGAATGACGGAACAAAGTCATATATGTCAGAGTGAACCTCGTCTATAGTTTTAACCAATCATGATCTTAAAATAGGTTTATATTAAAAACCTTTTTAAACCTCAAGAACAATTTGTTTTGTAAATGATTTATCAAATCATCTAATCCTCTTTAAATCCTTAAAACATGATATCATTCCAAAAACTATTTTTAAAGAAAAGTTTCTGCTTTTATCTTTTCAATACAGTTTTTAATCCAAAATCATAAATACTTGGTTTAAACTGTTTAGAAAACAGTATTTACCATATTTGTTCTAAAATCCACAATCATCAAAACCCAACAGTTTATAATCAACAATAATTTTAAAACTCATCTTAACAATCACAGATTCTACAGTTTTATAACACACAGCAAATCACAAGCTCTTCAAACAGCTTTGAACAAAAGATTTCTTCAAGAACATTTTTCACCGCCACAACACTCTTTTTCTCTTTCAACAGGTTTTTCTCCAAATGAAGTGATAAGATAGAATCTTATCTCTTTCTTTCTTTAAATACTCTCACCATGGCGGTGAGAATTATTTTAATTATTATAAAACTCATAAGCGGTGAATCATTTATCCAATAGAAATAAATTTGGGTGGTGGATTTATTTATTATAAAAACCCACGGTTTTCTTAACCATGAAGGTTGAGTTTTAATTATATATTATTTTCATATAATATCTTATCACATGTATGCATAAATCTCATGTATGAATCACAAAACTCATAGATGCATCATGTCTTTGCACATATACCATCCATGCATTAGAATATCATGCATGTTAATCACATATTTCACGTATTAAACACAAAGGTTACCTTGACCCAGGTTTGTAAAAAACCCAGTTATAACAGTTCATACATGTTCCAAGATGCTTCAAGACACTTTGGTAACGATATCTACTGTTTTGGTAACTGATGGTAACAAAAGCACATGATATTTTACATAAATACCCTTTTTCACTTAGTTCACATATGTTTGTGAAATTGTAAATTTAATAAATTAAAATTTTAATATGATTAATCACAACCGTTCATTGTAGGAATCAATTGCCAAGATTGGTTAACAAAGTTAACACACTAAACTTGGTTAACATTTGAACCAGCCCCTATATATATATATATATATATATATATATATATACATACATATATATATATATATTATATTATGCTTACATTTTTTGATAAATTAATAGATAAAAGATGAAATGGAATGCCTCTAGCAAGTTGGATGGTTTGGAGATTAAAGTTAATTAATTTGGAAGTACGATTGCCGTAAGAAGTCTTCTTATAATGAAATACACAATTTTTATTCAGGGATATAAAAGTATTTAACTTAATCTCTATAAATAATCATACTCCAACAGTGTGACATATTATTTATCATAGGCTTTCATTTAATTGACAGATGGGAAGGATAAAGGAAGTAAAATTAATGTCTATAGAAAGCTAGGTGGCGTTTGTTTTTTAAGAGGTGCTTACGTCTGAAGTCTGAATTCACTTCTGAATTTTAAGAGGTGGTGCTGAAGTCTGAAATCTGAATCAGTCAGACTGTTTGTTTTTACGTCTGAAATCTGAAATCTGAATCAGTCAGACTGTTTGTTTTTACGTCTGAAATCTGAAATCTGAATCAGTCAGACTGTTTTTTTTACGTCTGAAATCTGAATCAATAAGACTGTTTGTTTTTGTAAACTGACAAACTTCTGAAGTCTGAAATCTGAATCAATTCATTTCAATTAAATTTAACTGAAATATCCAATCATTTAAACCATTTGTAAACTACCATATATTTTTAACACATTCAAAACTTCAATTGAAATACGTCCATTGATTCAACACACAATAGAAAAGATGAATAAAGTCTCATAACAACTAGAATCAATATTCATTTTGCATTAATTGTGTCGCAATTTCTTCTTTTAAACTAGCCATATATGTTTGGTCAGCGGCACTCCCATGCGATTGAATCTCTTCAGCCTCATC